GGTTGTCATTTCGTGATTCAATCCAAATTGACAAACCAGTCTTAATATCAGATTTCAACTCTACGACAGAGAACATTCGATTTGTACGAAATTTGTGTCTTTTAATCTTTGCCAAATTTTTGTTACACGATAATGGACAAAGAGGGGCAACTGTAGACACACCATTTCGCTCTGTTACATATATTATGTGTTACGCATTAATATTTATATATATTATACTAAACACATATTATATATATTTATTATTTATATTATTTTACATGTTTCAGGCCTAATCATTTGGCCCAAAGCTATTACAAAGCTGCCATCAAACCCAATTAACCCAAGGAGCAAGCGGGCCGAAGCAAACCCAAACCTGGAGCCCTAACCCGAGCTACGACCCGAACCGGTCCCAAGACGACCCAAATCAGCTAGGATTGAAACCCTAACTTCTCCCTTCTCCCCTCAAGCGTCGTCGATGACTCCTCACACCCCACGCAACCGAGTTTTCTGGCGTTTCTCTCGGCACCAACACCAACAAAAAAACAAACAACAAACCGAGCATTTCACTCGGAATCAAACTCCCAAAAATAGGGTTTTATAAGCACTATAAATAAATGTAAAAGGAACACACGAAATACACACGAAATCTACAGGAAAATACGATAAAAAATAGTGAGAATCGGAGCAAACTTTTTGTAATTTTTCGAAAGAAAACATCGAATAAAGCATGCATTTTTTCACTTTACCTTGTTCGGCCTTGCACTTGCATGTGTTGTTTGTTTTGCTCGTCGTTTTTATTGAAAAACACCAAACCGTTGATGATCGGGAGAGGGCAACCAAGGAGTTTTCCTCAGATCTAGCCCTTCCGAGGCTTATTTTTTGAAAACCACTTGGATTTTTCGAAATAAGGGTGAAAATGGCTTCAAGAAAATGCATATTTGTTTGTTTATTTTATTAATAAGGGAGTTTTTTATTTTCACTTTTTGGTTTCTCTTTATTTATCTATTATTTTTTTGAACGTTTTATTTATGTATATATATATATATATATATATATATATATATATATATTTATTTATTTATTTGTTTGTTTGTTTTATTAATATTCTAATATATATTTTTTATTTTATCATATTTGTTTTTCTTTCCTTTTTTATTTTTAAGTACTATTATATTTGATTGAGTTATTGCCATACATAGTTAATTTTTCTAGAACTTGCTTTGCTATACATGTCGAAGACCACATTTTAGAATTGGATGCATCAAGAACGATAAGGACATTTAGTGAAACCACTTTTAGCTTTCGTAAAGAGCCTACCCTAATTATCATCCTTAGAAAGCCAATTTTGAGCCTGAGCCTTTTTGTTTGAAATTAACCATGGTACAAGCAAACATCAAATCCTTTTTGTTAAATTCCCCTCTTTGAACCTTGAATTGGAGGATTGTATGAGCTTCTTCACATGAGAATTCAAATTATCTTAAGAAGATCGGAAGATGTTGGAATATAGTGATTCGAGTTGCAATCTCTTTCATAAAAAACAAAAAAATATGATAAAATAGAAAATTGTAGTAGCGATGAGCAAGGTCGAATCCACAGGGATTAGGTAGATTTATTTTTATGAAAATTAAAGCAAAGAAATGGGGTTTTAAAATTGAGAAAAGTAAAAATAAAAAGAAGATCTAATCAACTAAAAATTGAGAGAAATTAATATTAAGCAAATATCCAACTAAAGGTATAATTTCAGAATTGGTTCGAAGAATTGATCATAGATGCAATGATAAAATCTTATACTTTTCACTAAATTGGTTATGGTTATTGAGAAGCTCTAACAACCTGACTCTCTTTAGTTTCTCGATAATCAAGAGAAGCTCTTTGATTATTTCCCTAGTTAATGAATAACCTTAGACAAGCTCTTAAGATTTAATCCACCAACAACATTAATCACTAGAGGGACCACCAATTCTAGCCAACGAATACACAAGCTCAATTCATTTAGACTATGTTATATACCTTCATAACATAATCATAATCAACCATGTTACTTTACCACTAATATTAGAACGTTTAAACAATTACGGATTTAAAGTTCTAAATGACAATTTATCAACTTGATAATTGAACAACGGATCCTTTGCACAATCAATCAAGACAATAATTCTTAATAAAAACAGAAGATATATAAATAGCAAAGAAGTAAAAGAACAATGAAAATTATTTAGATCTCACAATCCTTGAAGAACCAAAGCTTCAATTATCCTCCAGTTAGAAAAAAAGTATTTTGCTACTTATAATTGAAAGAAAACCAAAAGAAAATAAAGAAAACTTGATGTAAAACTAATGGCCCTAGCTCCCCTTTTATAAGGATTTTCCTATTCTAGATAAAGAAGTTTCCCTTAAAGAGAATCCCATAAAAATAGGAGTTTTAATGCCGTCATCTTTTTCTAAAGATAAGAATAATTCAAAAGAGTCTTCCAGCCGTCATTAAACTCTTTTTCCCTTGTAAATTCGTAACCCTAATTTAGGTTGTACGGACTGGTAAGGCGCACCCACGCCTTAACTGAAGACTTCTTCTGCGGTAGTTCAGGATGAATAAGTCGTGTCCACGCCTTACGCGAAAACCTCTTCTGGTCTTGCTAGCTTCTTGAATCCCGATTTTTCCTCCTTAATTCGGGATTTTGTGAAGATCATGTTAATCATAAGATTTTGAACTTGTTTTATCCAAATCTTCAACCTAATCCACAAAATACGAAATATAATCAAAATCCATAATTTAATCAATTTTAGTTATTCAAATATGAGGAAAATATTATAGAATATATGTCTAATATGCATCTTATCATTATCATATTTATTTTTCTTTCCTTTTTATTTTTAAGTACTATTATATATATATATATATATATATATATATATATATATATCCATTCTATTCTTTTTTGTTTTCTTTTTTATTTTGTTTTGGTTTTTTTATTCAATTCTATTTTTCAATTTTTTATTTTTATTCCATTTTGTTTTATTCATTTTACTTTTTTACTTTTTATTATTTTTCATTTTTTATGATGTATTATTTTGCTTTATTTTCTGTTTTTAGCCTATTTGTTTATTTTCTTCCTTCTTCCTTATTTATATTTTACTTTTACCTTAATTTATTCATTTATATTATTTTTAGGTTTTTTTATTTATTCCTTATTTTAGTAAGTGTTTATATTTAATTTTACAATCAACATCGTTATTTTTGTCTTTTTTGTCCTTGTTCCTTATATTAATTTTCATTTGCTATGTGTTTAAATGCGAGTACTTTGTTTTATTTCTGTTAATCCTCATTATGTACATATTTTTTAATGTCATTATTTAACTTTTATTCTTTCTGTTGGATTCATTACATCACTTTATCAATCTAATGTTTTTTTTTAACTTTTTGGTTCGCTTGGTTCACGGAATGTAAGATTACCAGAAAATATGGTTACTTGAAATGTTGTATTTTGTATTTGGTTGGTTTAGTAGGACTATAAGATTACTGTGTTTGGTTAAAGGAATAAAAGATTATTGGAATGTATATTTGACCAAATTGTCCTTATTATATATTTGTTTTTTTAACAAGTTGAAAAATATTTATATATTTTCTTTAAAAAATATAAATTCATAAAATTTATATAATTTTTTTTACAAAATTGAAAATGTAAAATGTTTTAATGAAAGGGTAAAATTTTATTTTAACCCCTAAACTTCATATAAAATTTTAATTATAAACTTTTTTTGTAAATCTAAAATAGTTTAAGGATAAATTTGTAATTTAATCTTCGTAGAATTTTTATTATTCAATGACAGAAGAATGATATATTTGAAAAAAAAATTAAGGGCATTTTAGTCCAAAACGTCGGTAATCCAACAATACCTAAGGAAATAGAGGTAATGACATTCCCGGTAATATACCCAAAAAATATACTATTGGTAATCTTACATTACCAGGAATGAGATTCCCAGCTAACCAAACGGGGGAATGTAGATTTCATTCCCATAGGAATCTCACATTCCCCCAGCCAAACGTCCCCCCTAATCCTAAGAGTAAACTACCTATTTGACCACTCATCTATTACTTGGTTTCTGTTTTGATCACCTAATCTTTTCTTCAAATCATATCTAACGTTAGTTGTTCTATTTTGATCACTCGCTATTAAAAATTAACAATAATACTATTACGTAATCGTAAGATAATATCACGCATGTATTTAGTTTCATTCTTAATCTTTTATTCAATCTTAAATCGATCCTAATTATTTCTAAACTATATAGTTTAGTCAAGTCTCTCAAATTTCTATTTTTATTATTTATATAATAAATATAAAATACATAGTAGTCAAGTCTCTCAAATTTCCTTTTGTTTAATTTATCTTTAAATTATTTTACCTAATTTTAAAGTCAATTCTATTTATTTTTACACGAAACGAACGACTTCAATAGCTAAAAAATTATTATTATCTCTTGGGATCTCTAGGTTTAAACACAACGTATGCAAGAATGTATGAACATATATTGTCAAATGATTAAAGGTCATTCGAACAAAAAATACTTTGTATTTATTTTAAACTAATAAAAATGCTTTTATTTATTTTTTAATTTAGTTGTCGATATTTGATTTATTGATCGACTAATCCAGATCGAATTTTGGAGAGTATAGGAAAACCTCTCAACTCAATTGTTCCATTGTTTGAGATCTTGACTACTCATACGAAATTCCTGAGCTGGCAATCCATTAATGGATCTCAATGCCTCCCATTTATGATGATTCCATTGCCCGTGTAAAATACCAAATTCAAAAAGCCCTTACATTTGTGCCACAAATTCGAACCCCATAAACGTGTCCCATGTTTCCTACACAAAACCAACGCCCTCACCCCGTATGGGTCACCATTCATTAGAGGGACCATCCACAACAACAACAACAAATGCATGCAGCGATCGGTCATGGTTCGGCTGATGGGAATGCTTTCAATATTCTTATCTCCTCAAGATGAGGTGAATCTCTCGATTGGATATCTTGTGCTCTTTTGGCCCTTCACTCAGATTATCTCTGGATAGCAGTCGCTCTCTCATTTAGTCCTTCAAATAATTTTCTCCTCCCTTTGTAGCTTTGTCTGCAGTTCTATTTTTCCTTTCGTCTTTTGTCCAATTCGGTTCGGAGAAAATATGGTTTACTCTTACAACAACTACCACCATCTTGTTCCTTGTCTTCATTGTCACCCACATAGCTACATCCGAATGGTAATACTAAGTACCAACACTCGCACTGCAATTATATATTCTTTCAAAGAATCATGGCGTTTGTAGTTCATAACCAGAAAATTTTGCAGGTTCAGAATCTGATAGAGAGATGCTTGCTTCTTCACATGAACCAACAACAATGCGTCAAGGCATTGGCGCAGTATGCAAGCATTCAGCCGTGCATTACGATCACAGGTGATGCGAAGACGAGCTAGCCGACGGTGATCGTCGATCGGGTTTGGGGTTTCGACGTCGTTTAATGTCATTGATGTGTTTTTGCAGTGTGGAGAGAGCTTGAGAAGGAGAACAGGGTCTTCTTTGAAGCATATGTTCATGCTGTCTCTTCCTACAGGTCTTTGTTGGGTAAGCGTTAAGGCATATACCCTACAATCCCAAACCCTAAACTATTATGTAGAGTACATGTATTTATGAAGTTATTACCTGATGAAGCGACTGTAAGCTAATTATGTTGATATTTGTCCGTCCCTTCTCCGGTGCTGTAAAATTGAAATTAAACAAGTATTGGAATTCGAATGCATAACTTGAGTTTCTTGTGCTCTTGCAACGCGATGAGCAGCATCAGTTACCTACAAATCGAAGTTTAAAAATGAAAGAAAGAAATCAAGTTTGTTCCCAGTGGGATTCACAGGGACAATATATTCATCTTCATTATCTGAAGAGCTCGGCAACGATGGGCTGCGCTTGGCCGAGGTGATCTTCCTTGGGGCAAGCCCGCAGCTGTTTCTTCTCAAAGTACTACTCCCTTTTGGCTGCTTGTGAGAAACATAATAAAATATTATATATATATATATACTGCCATCTTGTGTGTGTATATATAGTTGACATTTCAATTTTATAATTTCTAGGATAATTGATAAATTAAAATAAATAATTAAGATTAATAATAAAAAAATTATATTATATAAGTGAAAACTATTTAAAATAAATAAATAAATATTTAAAATTTATGATTTATCATGTAAAAATTTTAAAATTAATTAGTTATCGTGAAATTTATATATACATAGATTTAAGATGAAACCCTTGAACTAGGAAGACAACAAAATAAAGTTTATGATTTATCGTGTCAAATTATCAAAATTAATTAATTATTGTGAAATATATATATATATATGGATAGATAGATAGATAGATAGATAGATTTAAGATGAAACTCTTGAATTAGGAAGACAACAAATATTTTTTTATGATTTATCATTTCAAATTATAAAAAATAATAAATTATCGTGAAATCTTATCTGTTCACAAATTCATTAACAAATAGAAAAAATCTTAATATTAAAATTTCAATCTTTAGTTTTGATCTTTCAAATTAACATATTTGTATTTAAAAAAGCATTTTTATTATAATGAAGATAATATATAAAGATTAACTCATATATAATTTAAAAATTATATCTCTAACCAATAATTTAACTCAAAAATTTTAATTTTAATCGGTTTATCATCTATTAAAAATTAATTGCTTAAAGATATATTATTTTATTTAATTACTTATTAAATTTTAATTTGCATTTCAAGATTTAGGATATGTTCAAAACAAGTATATTCCTTTTTTAACAATGGAAATCGAATTTCATTAACAAAAATAGAGGAATCAAATTTACAATGCATCCATAGAGAAATTTGGAGACAATGATCACTAAAAACTCATACATAAAATAAAAATATTAAACCCGAAGATACGAAGAGATTGAAACCTTCCAAACATCAAAGCAATTCAGTAACCTTCATAAAACTCTTTCTCTATGTCGAACATGATGCTTTACGATGTGATAAAGGAGTGCTGAGTGTAATACTCCAAATTTTGACCAGTGACTAAAATGTAAGTTTTGAAAGTTTAGTGACTAAAGTGTAACTTTTAAAAGTTTAGAGACCAAAAGTGTAATTTTTAAAAGTTGTATATTTTAGCTTGTAAATGAATAATTTGGATTAAAACAAATATTTTAGTGGGAATTAGATTTTCGGTACGAGATTTGTGTTAAAAGTTATAATGCGGTAAAGTTCGGTATTGAAATCGGATCATCGGATCGAATCAAAATTTCACGAAATTGTGAAGGATGCTAGATAAAGGTTGGAAATATTATTTCATGGATCAATGGAATTAAGGTCGATTGTTCATGTTAAGCAAAAATTTGAAATTAGATGACTAAATTGCAATTTTCAAAAAGTTACAAAGACAAACATGAAAAATCAGAATTTATGATATTTTTGTTATTGATGTGATGATGTAAGGGATGATATCATGAAGTGACATAGATGAAATTATTAAGTTTTATTAAGGGTAATATGGTAAAGTGATTAAATGAATTTAAAATTCATTTATATTAGATAAGGACATGTGTATTAAGGGATAAATTCTAGTAAATTGAAGAAAAACTCAGTTTCTTCTTCCTCCAGCCGTGGGACTCCGTTTACCAGGTGAGAAGATTTGTTTTAATTTTTGGTTCATTTTTACTATAATTTTAAGTTAGGTTATTTAAGATAAAATAACTTACATGAAATTCTCTTTCATTTGGTATAAAAATCTTCATGTTTCATGCTCAAGTTGGTAAGATGTTGATGAAGGGGAAGTGTGATTTTTATGATTAAAAATTGATTCTTGATATTAGAAGTGTTGTAAGAATTGATGAAGAACCTCATAACAATGCAAATTAATGAAAACAATTTAGATTTTTTAATCTGACAGTGAGTTTGAAAATTCATCAGAAATCTTATAAAAATGATTTCGAGGTTATTTTTATATATTTGTGTTCGTATATCAATCTAGTTTTGTTTAAAATAAATGGGGATCAATTTCAAGGTATATACAAAAAGATATGAATTTTTAACCGATGAAATATCATAAAAACAGGGCAGCAGATTCTGCACAAAACATATTATGTCGGTCAATTTTGAAAATTTATCATAAATTGTACAGAATGAACTAGAAGAAGTTCTTTATATGGATAGATTCGTATTCAAGTCTAATTTTCAGCGTAAGAAACGGAATTAAATTACAGTGTGCATATCAATACAGAATAATGATTCTTTAAAGGTAGTGTGAGTTGTTTGAATATGGAAATTTTATAATTTAAGTGGAAATAGATTAGAAGCTGAAGAGTAATTTTTAAATGTTTGAGTATATTTTTGGATGCTTGAAATTAAATTTAAACGGCAAGAGACCATTTTGAATAAATTGGAAATGTTGAGAAGAATTCTAAAAAATTCATTTTAATGGATAGATGGTGGAGTTTGAAAGGTTCCAAAACTTTGGGGGTTTGTTTGCAAGTTCTTAAACGAATAAGTATTATTTGAGTAAATTATTGAATACTGAAAATTTTATTAGTATGCTGAATTTTGAATTAAATATTGAGTTGATGTTGAATTACAAATTTATTAAGTTTGGTGGATGAAAATCGAAAGTTAGGAAAGTTTGAGTTGAAATTATAAATGTTTGAAATGTTGAGGTTGTGATTTGAGCATTTTATTAAAGTGCTGGAATTTGTATATTTAATGTGCAATGATTTTAATGGTGAATGACCATTATGAACTAAATGGAAAGGTTGAGGTAAATTCTAAAAAGAATTCACAACTTATAGCTTATGTTAGTACGATACTAATATGTAGTTCGAATACTTTGTGTTATTATTTGGTATTGCCATACCACGATAAATCTAGCAATCAGGACGATTCGAAAGGAAAAGAAAAAGAATGTGATTAGAAATATCGTTTAAGGAATCTATAGTGAGGCAAAGGTGAGTGCAATTATTTATTTAATTATTTTGATTGAGGACGACTTGTGATAAGACAACCTCATTCCAATTTACAGTATGATTTATAAAGTTTATAAATAATATTTTTATAATATTCTATATCAATTTTATGAATGATTTAGAGTATGAACTACCCAAGCAGAATATTTTTATGATGGATTTATTATGATACATTAACCCATATTGTTATAGTGAGAACTGTTGGTACACTTGGCATGTCATTAGTTGAGTTTTATCTATTATCAGCTTTGATACATTCATGTATCAATGTTATCATATCAGCTTTGGTACATTCATGTATCAATGTTATCATATTAGCTTTGGTACATTCGTGTATTAATGTCCAGCACCGTTGGTGCTTATTCATGTTATGATGGCACTGAAGTGCATCATATCTCAATATCAGTTACGATTTGCACAGTGTTATGCATAGTGCACACCTTACTCATGTATCTTATGTTCTCATAAATATGCATTGGGTTATGAAAATGAATATGTAAGTTGAATGATTTCCAGTTGACAGAAAGTATGATATGCTTATTTTATCAGATATGATTTATCAGAATTTTCATGAGTTCATGATTTAAAAAGAAATTTCAGGTCTCAGTGAAGAAATCGACTTGAAAAAGTTGGTTTGTTAGTTTAATGTTTTAATTCAAATTATTTTATTTATGTTTATGATATCTTTGGATTTTTCTCACCTTAGATTATTATTGTCTTACTAAGTTATACTTAGCGCGTGATGATTTTTATGCGTAGGGTCTGATTGAGCTACATACGTTTTATGAGGAGTCTTCCAAGCATCATGTGCATATCATCTATAATACCAGTATCAGTAAGACGTCATTGAAGTTTATTTTGACTAATAGTGACATGTATCATTATGTGAGTAGTTTTTATTTATCGTATTTATTTTAAATAATATGTAATAGTAAATTAGAATTATTTTGGTTTATTTTACTTAGTTTAGTTTTATCAGTATCTATGCATGAAAAGAATATATTACATTATTATGTTTTTAAAAGATTTCACGAAAAGATATGGTTTAGTAAAATTACTAATTAACAAATGAATTTATTTTTCCGTAACAAATAAATAAATTATAGGTTGAGATATATTTTAAAATAATTTTTTTTATAAGTTAGGAGTGTTTTAAAATGAAACAAATTTTTAGGCAATTTCAGTTCAGAAAATGTTTTTAATTTGATGTGACATATTTAACTCGTATATAGAGATATATACGGGTTAAGGGTGTTACAATGAGCGAACCAAACAATTTGGCAGACTGGTTCGCTACACAATTCTAATTATATTGGCAAACGACCATTTACAAAAGAGGATATATGACAATACGTGATCACCGACAAGCCAATCAGAAAACAAATGTCGTGAGGATCATTGTGGAAGCACCAACACGATTGTAACAATATGCGAAAAACTTACCTAAAATCATAAAGAATGTGTCACAAGAGCGGAGAAAAAGTGTGCAATAGTAGAGAAAAGTGTGTCACAAGGATAAATATTCTTTTTTAAAGAAAAAAAAGTAAAAAAATAAATAATATAAAAAAAAAAAAAATCACCGACGATCGATAACTAATATTAAAATTGATATCATCCTAGACTAAAAAAAATACGAATACAGAATATTGAAAGAAAAAAATTAAGTTAAATAACTATTCTTAAAAAACTATCACACAAGTATATTAATTTTT